GTGCTGTTGTGCCCCTCCATCTGTGATACGACCCACACCGGGCCTCTAGCCTCATTTGCGTTGATGTGACAACAACACCCAACCCCTCCCACATTGAAACCCCCTCACCCATGTTCTTTTCTACTTGAGCAATCTGATAAGGGAGGGAGAGCTGGTGCCAGGTGTATCTCCAGAGCAGGAAAACTAATCCTCTGTGCTCCCCAATAGGAAAGTGTTATTATGCTTTGTGTGCGCCAATCACTAACCAGCTAGGCTGTCACTACGATTACAACATGTTTCCCGCAAAAGGGGGTGTAAACAAATATCAAACCAGAACAGGGTTCACTTTGAGAAATACCACCCACCTCTGTAGAACTATGTAGGCCGTGGGCTGCATTTACTAAGACCCCCTGATCTAAGCTTGCTAACTAGGCTAATGGTGCGTTTGGATGGTTCTCTGGATCTCGTGTCTCCCAGTTGGTGAAGTCATAACTATGACATAAATGCATTTGAGTGCTTTTGTATTTGGACAACTCTTCAACCAATGAGATTTTAGCTAGATGGTTAAGCAAGCTAGCATTGCTAATAATACATGAGTTAGCATGCTTACATTGCAATGTGTCGAACCATAGACTGTATGGGTCAAACTACACTCGGCCTCCCGAGTGGCGCAGTGGTCTAAGGCAGTGCTAGCTGTGCCACTAGAGACCCTGGTTCGAATCCAGGCTCTGTCGTAGCTGGCCGTGACCGGGAGACCCATGGGGCGGCGCATTATTGGCCCTGCGTCGTCCAGGGTAGGGGAGGGAATGGCCGGCAAGAATGTAGCTCAGTTGGTAGAGCATGGTTGTGGGTTCAATTCCCATGGGAGGCCAGTATGAAAAATAAAATAATGTATGCACTAACTATAAGAGCGTCTGCTAAACATTTTAAACTATCTGCATTATCAAGATTGTAAATGGCTTTGTTTTAACATTATTTAGTCGGAAAGGTGAAAGGTCAGTGATTAAAGTCACAACTTGTAAACTGGTAATTCTGGCACAAATTTCCCACTTTGAACTCCGACTCGAGGGTCGTTCTAGTAGTTATTTCCGACTCACAATCTTTTAGCTCGGAATTTCCGACACCACTGAGGCACAAGTTGAAATATTTTCAACCCCATAATGCAACACACTTTGAAAGGTGGTGACCAACGATGGTCGCCGACTTGACAAAAATGACCCACTCGAACGCGCCCAAGTGCTTAAAAAATTAGAAGAGTGAAAAATCATGCAGGGTGACTAATAAAAGTGATAGAATAAAATGTAGATAAAATCTTACAAAAATCTTATGTTCATTATTTGTATTGTAATGGGTTGCTCCTTTAACGTTACAGAATTGCATTTGGTCCATAATATCTTCCTCATTGTCATAGTGGATTTAAAAAAGGAATACCATATTTGAACATTCTTAATGTGTTTTCTTACCGTCCAACGATAAACAACTGTTCGAATTTACATACTCTAGTGGATTTGAGTATCGGCAATCTGATTGGCCAGAGAGAGAGGTGGACGGGTACAGGATGCAAACCAGATAGATGAGTACAGCAGTGTTGATCTCTGCATGTACAGAGGAGGCACGAATGACCATCCCATGTCCACCTGGCCGCCCATGTGGCTGGCTTCCTTCCCAGGGGGCAATGGGGCCATGGAGTGACTGACCTCCTACAGGTATTACACATTGATGTGTAAGCTTCGCTGATGGTTAACTGCTCACTGCGTAATCACGGCAACAAGGACACGGTCTCTTGAACCGATTTCGTGTACTATATTTCTTTCAACCTCATCGATTTCTCCATGAACTACCTCCTCAAGGTCTCTCCACGCATGGTCTCTGGCATATTTAGACTTTGTAGCCATAAACGTGTTATTCCGCTGTGACCATGGACCACAAATACCTGCAAAACAAGCACAGGGTGGGATATTTGAGTTTTGACATCTTGATTGGTCATCTTGAGAGGGTCAGATTACTGTAAGGTTAAGGTTGATGGAAAATGTGTCAATTTCTGTGCAACTCAATCCTCAGTACACGACATGACACGAACAATCACACACAACACTCAACAGTCCAGGGCTATATAGGGGTGGTGATGAGATGATGAGGTGCAGGTGCGCTGGACGTGATTAGGGTGCGTTGGGTTTCCATTCCGGTGTTGCCGAGGTGGTGCGCTCAGACCTGTGGCTCAGTAGACCGGCGAATCAGAGCACCAGAGGGGAGCAACGGGAGGAGACATGACAGTGTGTTTGATTTTACTATCCTTTTGGGGACCAGAAGTCCTCAAAAGGATATTAAAAGAAGGAACATTTTGCTCGTCACAAGGAAAAATGATATTTTAGGCCTTTCCTAGGGGTTAGGTTTAGGGTTACAATTAAGGTTAGAATTAGCGTTAGGGTTAGGTTTCGGATTAGGGGTTTCAGGTTTGGGTTAGGGGTTAGGAAAAATTGGACTTTGAATGGGAATCAATTGTTTGGTCCCCACAAGGATAGTAAAACAAATGTGTGTGTGTCCTTGTGTGTGTCATCTGATCATGTCATCTTGTCATGTGACTGTAGCTTCTCATGTTTTCAGAAACTACAGTCATTGTGCCACCTACTGGATACAGGGCTGTCTATAGCTCATGCAGGGCCTTATTCATAAAGCGTCTCAGGGTAACATTAGGAGTGCTGATCTATGATCAGATTTGACTTTTTAGATCGCATCACAAGATTAGATGGACAGGGGGGACCTGATCCTAGATCAGCATGCCTATTCTGAGATGCCTCATGAATACCAGCAGCCCTGGCTCAAATAAATACATTTGGATTTAACATTCAGTGTACCTTGCCCCAAATGACTGATTGTGCACACTGTCGACGCATATTGGATGTAGTGTAGATTAACAGTATAACAGTCAGTGGCGACAGATCATTCAGGGCAGGTGGGGCAGAGCCATTGAGTTAATAAAGACGCATACAAACCTGGTCTCTTTTTTGCTTTCTTGAGTAAGGCAGCTCCAAAATGCAGGTGTTTCAGCCTAGCTCAGTGCTTTTTGTGGTTGTGGGGCAGCCAGCGGAAAATACGGAGTGTAGGGGTTGGTAATGTTCTCTAGTTGCACCGTGATTGGCTCAGTGTTCTTTCACTCATGAGGACACTACGTCGCCGCAAAATCTATGGGGAGAGAAATTATTAAGAGAAATTATAGATAAAACGTATCGGTGCTCCTCGGCCATTAGACATAAACATTACACAACAAGTTGGAAATCGCAAATTCACCAATGAGTGGTTTGGAAAGAATCAGTGGCTAACTGCAAGCATTGCAAAGCAATCATTAGCCTTCAGTGGAGTGGGTGTGTGGTCCAAGTCTGGGTTTAAGGGTCTCTTTTCCAAGCTTAAAAGGATAAACGTTCAACATTAGCCATGCTGTCAATCCAGCATGACTTCTGCTGCGTTCAAAACAACTAGAAACTCGGAACTGGGAAATCTCAGACTTCAGTGAGTTCAAGACAACTGGGAACTCAGAAAAAATTAGCTCCAACTGGGAAAATACGTTTTGAACGGTCATCTAAATCGGAATTCCAAGTCGGGAACTCGGGCCTCTTTCTAGAGCTCCGACCTGAAGATCACTGACGTCATGATTCGACCTTGTTTTTTCTCGGGTTCCCAGTTGTCTTGAAAGCACCATAAATCCAGAGAATGCCAGACTTTGATGACAAAGTTTGATGACAAAATTTGCCCACGAAGGCCAACTTCCTGTTCAAGTGAGCACAGCACAACAAGGGGAGTCAAAAATGTATTGTATGCTGCTGCATAAATTATGTAATATGCCAGGGAGATATGTATACTGTAGCTAAGAAAGTAATACTAAGTGTATGTTTCTGTAGTAAGCTGTTAGTAGCCCATGTGCCTTGCCCTAATAATTTGGTCCCTTTTCCCCTCATAACTTAGCCTACTGTTCTGACTTGGTGGTGCACATGTAGCCCATAGCCTGTTTTAGAGAAATGTAATCATCATATATTGTAAGAGCTTTCATTGTCTGCGTATATACCCCTTTTATTTATCCTATGGTTCTGACTTGGTCTACAGGGAGAATACTGTAAGAACGGCCCATGTTCTGAATTCTGTCGCTGTACGTTTCAAAAGTGCTGAACAAATAGTTATATTGACTACGTCCGTCCTAGCTCACTTATTAATGTCTTAATCGAAATTACGGATTGCCTCTTATCCGCTTGTCATCCCCTTATGCCATAGTTTGTATGTCTCAATTGTCAGTAGAAACCACATTTATTTAAGCAAGTCAGCTATATCAGCTATTTATTTTTAAAGGCAGTAAATGAGGTTGAATGAACTGTTTCTCTGCCAGACAAGGCTCCACTGCCCCATCAATATTTACATGCTAAAATCGCCACTGGTAACAGTAGCACCACCCACTGGATTAGTAGCCTATTGTATGTCATGAATGAAATAGGCCTACTGCAAGTTTATCAATTCCACTTGTGACAGAAAGCAGCCAAGTCACTCATATTATATTATGTTAATGCTTCCCAAAGGAAACATGGTGTGTCAGGCTCAGTCAATCATATCCTGTTGCATCTAAAACATAAAGGTAACGGTGTAAAATGATTCTGAAATAATAGGCCTAATAATAGTGAAATAGGTCTAGAGTTGTGTTACACCTGAAATGCAAAAAAACAAAATGTCAGTGTCTGTTATTTATTCAGCAACAATCCCAAAAAATTGATACAAAATTACCCGACAAAGTTACATCATCACCACAGAATCATTCGCATCCACGTGGCTATGCAAAAGCGTAAAAGCAGGAAGCCAAATCGGCAGTTATTTTTTTATTGTCGCTGTCATGTGTCATTTGAACTATTAGCCTGGACTTTTGATGTTGCAATTTGGTAGAGAAAACGTGCAATTTATAGCGTCGGGAAAGTAACACGTTTAATGTAACTATTGCTGTTTTATCATTCTTTTCATTTTGATAAATAATTTACGTGCGTAGGATGACTACCATCTACGAAGAGAATGATCCAAATTCTTTGGAGCTTGTGGAAGGTCTTGGTCAAGATAACGGTCAAGAGGAGTTCGACTTCTCCTACCTGTTTTTGTACAACCCATCTGAGGATGACTTTCGCGGGAATGAAGGTAAGGGTGCGAACATTTTCCATAGGTAAGTGCAATCAATATGTTCCGACAAATCTTTTGGTGTTAAAATAATAAAGGTTTAAATTGGAGTTTATAACATTTTTATTCAGAATTTACAAAACAAAAGTAGCCTTATCATGTAATCATATTTTGTACACTACTCAGAAAAGGCTACAGTCACAAAACGAAATGTAAAATAGATTTCAATTAGCTTTTTCTTGCTTGTACAAATCCATGGTTTTGTGATTGAGTTTATATTTAGCCAGGTTGAACCAGTGGTGAATGATGGAGTCACTCCGTCAATTTAAAACACATGCTATTTTGGGAACATGTTTCCTATTATTGCTTGGAATTGCCTGATGTCCATAAAAAAATATTTGGTAACAAAATTCGTAAGAACAAAAAATATTGTCACTAAAATGGCAGGCGTATGGTAATTAGTAAAACAAAAATAAATCCCATTCTGATCCTGAAATGGTGCAATCCATGATGCACTCCCCTAAATGAGTACTCCCTTCATTCTTCCATATTCTTTACAGACAACTCAAGGGTTCTCCCTCACGATGGTCACAACCCTCCATCTATGGTGCCCTACCCTTGTGATGACAGTTCCAGTTGTGCCCCTACAACCTCCAGCCAGTCCTCCTACTACCATGGGCCTGTCACTGACTGCCTGTCTGGGCCTGGGTTTAACTCGCTGGATTTCCCCTCCAGGCCAGGGGGTGCTCCCTCCCCCAGCCCTAGGATTGAGATCACCCCGTCTGGGGACCCTTACCGGACTCAGCCCCTGGATGCCAGCCCCAGATCCACGGCCCTGACTGTGCCTGGCTATGAGAACACAGCCTATCGAGAGCCCCAGTGCCTAAGCCCTGCCAGCAGCAACTCCTCTACAGGCTGGCTGTCCGAGGCCTGCTCTCCCCGGGCCTCGCCTTGTGTATCTCCTAGTGGTGGTGGTGGTGGTGGGGGCGCGGTGGGCTTGACCACCTCGGACCACCTCCAGGGCATCAACATGTCCTCGGCTCACTCCTCCCCAGGGACCTCCCCGCGCACCAGCATCACAGAGGAGACGTTCCTGGTACTGCAAAGTCAGCGGTCATCCTCCCCCCACTCCCATACTCACCCGCGCTCTCGTTCCGCCTCTCCCCAGGGCAAACGCACCTACGACCAGTACAGCGCCCCCAGCCTGGGGACCACCAGCAAGCAGCAGCTCTCCCGGAGCCCCAGCCCCTCGCCCCACCACCCCCAAGGACCCCAGGCCCAGGCTGACCCCCAGGCCAATGCCTCTCAGCAGGCTCCCAGCCTTGAAGAGGGGTTGAGCAGCCTCAGCTCCAGCCTCAGCTCCAGCCTGCCCAGGGCGGTGCCCTCCAAGATAGTGCGGCCCAGTGTGGAGTGCTATACGTACAGAGAGAGCCAGGGGGATGGCTGTGTGCATCCCATGGAGCAGGGGAGGAGAGGCAGAGCTGGGGCTGAGACCTACATCCTCCCCACATCTGTTTGGCCAGTTCCACTAGCCCACGGAGCCTTCAGGTATAATGTGCTACGGGAATGATGATCCCTCATAAGAATGACTCTGTAATTACAGGCTATGTACAGAAGCAGTATTAGGAAAACCTTATTTCATTTGAAATTGTGATTTCATGTTCTGATATGTGATCTGTAATTTTGTGTGTGTGTTATGGCAGGAAATGTTACACTAATGATCTAACTCCGCTATAACCATTGAAATCTCTCTCTCTCTCCCCTCTTCAGTAGCATCTCTGTGCCATCTCTGCCCCCTCTAGATTTGCAATTGCCCAGTCACTCAGACCAGTATGAGCTCTGTCTGGAGCAGCAGCCTAAACAGCACCACCGTGCCCACTACGAGACAGAGGGCAGCAGGGGGGCAGTCAAAGCACCCGGCGGAGGACACACTGTGGTTCAGGTACTGGGGGAGGGGGAGTGGGAATGTGTGTGTGTCTGTGTTAAATCTAGGTATGTGGGGATGGTTGTTGACAATGTGCCTGTGTGGATGTTTGAGTGTGTAAATGTATAGTGCAGCTTGTACTCCCGTGTGTATAAATGTGTCTGTGGTGGTATTTCCTTGTCATTATGTCACCCTGTCTGTCTCAGCTGCACAGCTACAATATGTAAATAAACATCCTTGTATCAGCCTGCATTATTAGGACTACACCCATTCAACCACAAAACCAGCACAGCACAGTTAAACCAACATAGGGCGTTTTCACACTTGAAGTTCGGTACCTTGGTTCGGTTTCTTCGAGTTTTTGTGAGAATTCAACAAAATAAGTTTAGCTTTTACAAGACCTGACGATAACCGTTTCAGGGTAGGATTTGCGAGATGCTCATTCTACATGACGTAAGCAAGCTAGCTTGTTTATAACGGGTAAAAAGTTACATGCGACTTGTGCTGCCGCCTCACAATACCTAGTACGCTGGTCTTGGATCTTGGACACGTTACTCACGCATGCTTATTAGCGCAGATCAGGGTACCAAAGACTCTTGGATCCAGATCATACAGGTGATACGTGAAAGCTCCCATACTCTCATGTACTCTTCTTTACAACAAGTTACTACAATGTTCTATTCAAGTAGTTTGAGAGGACGCGCCCTAAGTGAAAGGAGAGGAAGACTCCCTGTTGAAATAAAAGTTAAATAAATGAAAGCAAATGGCTTAGTTTAGTAAGTTGTTTTGTGATCTAGCATCTCACACTCAAAACCTGCTGGAATTTCCCTCCTTTACTGACAAATGTTTTCCATGTAAAGGTGAACACTTTCAACTTCTCATCCCCAGCAGGCTCTCTAGCAATTGAGCCTTTGATCGAGGTTAACGTTCAGCTTCATATTGGTGGAAAATCCACCAATATGAAGTAGTAGATAGTTCAGAGACATATTGACTAAGCCATTTTGTTTTTGATGTATAGTTACTAACGGAGTGAGCGGTCTTCTCATTCCGTGACGTGAAAGCCAAGGCATTTCTGGGTCCAGGGCAACAGTAGCGATGCTAACCATCTGCTAATCATTAGCCATCTGCTACATATGCAAATAATTATGTCGGGAGTTGGCCTTTCGTAACCTATGAAGTCATTTTCCTTCATGATGTAACAGACAAGAACTGTGATATTGTTGGAGGTATTTAACCCTCGATGATCCCTAAGTAATTATAGATGTCTCCGATTTCAACAGTTTAATATTTTGATGAGTAGGTGTCTAGAATGAATTGTTCTACTGTGGATTACACATTAGAATGAGGTGCACAGTTCAAATTATCAAAATTAGTCAGAGATATGATTATTTACCATCATGTATAAAAGCTGAAGGAATGCTGTGCAGTACAGGGGACACAGTATCGATTTCAACTTCCGAAAAATCGAAGTATGTCAGATGTTTTTTTACCTTAAAAAGCAGTCTAATGTCCACATCCTATGTCATTGATTGTGTAGATCCAGCTTTGCCTCAACCCCAGATGAATGGAAAAGAAAGCACCGGGTAAGATTTGGAAAATAAATGGTGCTTATCATTTCTATTTATTCTGGGTTGTGGCATATAGGTGGATATATACAATAGCTGGCTTGGGATGTGGACTTATCTCAACATAAGACCAGTATTGACGTCTGAAAACATCTGTCAAACTTTGGTTTTGGAATATAATGTCCCTTTAAATATCGAATCCGCATTAGGAGAAACAGAAACCCTGTTCGCCCCAGCACTTTTGTTGTTGTTTTTGTTCTGTGGTTGAAACGGAGGAGAAACTGAGGAGAAACTGAGGAGAGGAGCCTCCGGCAAAGTGCAAAAAAATGTGCAGTACATGTTCTGCTGTTCTATTGCACATGCAATGATGTCGGGGGGGGGGGGGGGGGGGGGGGGGGGGGACAGTGTTCGTTGTTTGCGGTAACTTCTTTGTTGTTGTAATATCCCAAACGGACGTGGCAGATTCCAGCTTTAATGGTAAAACTGTTTGTTTGTTTGTTGACAGCTTCATGGGTACAGAGGCACAGCTCCACTGGGTCTGCTGGTGTTCATCGGAACGGCTGACAAGAGGCTCCTCAAGCCCCATGCCTTCTACCATGTGCACCGCATTATGGGCAAAACCGTCACCACCCCCAGCAATGAGATAATGGTCAATGGCACCAAGGTCCTGGAGATCCCTCTGGAGCCCAAGAACAACATGAGAGCAGTGTATGGAGAGCAGTCACATTAGAGACAGTACAGTGTACACACACACACACACACGTTTTCAGAGCTAGGTTATGAAATAATTAATCAAATAAAATGTTCACTTCCCATGTAAAGGATTGACTGTGCTGGGATCCTAAAGCTGAGGAACGCTGACATCGAGCTGAGGACAGGAGAGACCGACATCGGACGGAAGAATACCTGTGTCCGTCTGGTCTTCCGGGTCCATATTCCCCATCCAGGAGGACAGTATGTCTCTCTTCAAGTGGCCTCCCTTCCCATCGAGTGTTGTAAGTTAACTTTTGTTCCAGCAACCTGACTTCTATAACTACTGCAAATAATAATAATAATAATAATCTGCAGAGCGATTTAATCCAAACATTTTCTTCAGTAATGTGTGTTATAAGGATTATATAACTGGAATTTAGTAAACTGCCTACCTGTCTATATGCCTTCCTGTCTATTTGAAATGTTAGTTATTTTGCTCACAGCCATTTGCTCGTGCAAAATGTCACCCTCAGAATGTGACTCGGGTTCTAATGTTCTCCTAATGACGTTTTACTGTGGTTCCACAGCCCAGAGGTCAGCCCACCAGCTTCCCACTGTAGAGCGCCAGGACGTAGACCGCTGCTCGGTTCTAGGGGGACAGCAGATGATACTGACCGGACAGAACTTCACCTCTTATTCCAAGGTGGTGTTCACGGAGAAGACACCTGGTGAGGAATTTACAATCAAGCAATCAAATATATAAAGCCCTTTTTACATCAGCAGTTGTGCCTTACAGTAACCCGGCCTAGACTCCAAAGAGCAAGCAAAAGCAAGTCATTGTATCTAGTAATGGCGTACTGTACACTACCTTTAGTAATGTTTGGCTTCATGGTAGTAAATTATAGAAATGGGCTAAGCCAGGAGGTTGTCGCCTATTGGCTGCCTCAGACTTTTCTTCGTACAGCAGTAATCAGCCTTCCACGAGCGTTGGCTTGTATGAGCCGGAACAGCTCATATGCGCAGGATCTGCGGTTTCTGTAGCATGAGGCAGTTTGATGTACAAGTACACCCCCTGGATAGGACAGGCCTTACCCCCAATCTATCGCCGTAATGCTTAGTGCCAAGCAGCGATGCACCGGGACCCATTTTTACAGTCTTTGGTATGACTCTGCCAGGGAACAAATCCCAACATTCCAATCTCAGACACTCAAACCACAAGGCCACTGAGTTTGTACAGCAGTAGTTGATAACTATTTTGAGTTAGTTGTCCTATTGAGAAGACAATTTCCAGAACATTTGCTATTTTTAAAAACTATTGGCTCTCTCTTTCTCTTGCCATTGTGCTCCGTTGTGATCCAGAATTACTGTACTGCACGTTCTAAAACCAACCAGCTCATCTTTGACCTGCTTAGATTTGTATGGATTGCTGGTCTCAATGGACTGGTCTCCAAGCTCTCTGACATCACCATGGCTATATAATGCAAAGCTTTATTTCTTTGCATAGCCCAACATGGATAAGATGATTAACATCTAGTTTGTTTATTTGTACTCCCATCTTGTTTGCATATTGCCAAAGAAACCGATAGTACTGGAGTTATAGTACAGAGCAGTGAGATGTCTAGTCTAGTCATAACCCCCTGACTGAAATACAGGAAGAGAAACTAGATAATAGGATTAGTGACGCACTACTCCCAAGTTCAAACAGTCACAAAATAGGGACGCACTGCACATGCTCAAATAACTCCGCACAAATGAAAAATGACTAGACCAAAAGGTTCTGTAATATTCAAGCCTATGCCATTTAGGAGACCATTTTTTCTAAAGCAACCTACAGTACAGTGTATGTATGTGATCCCTGTGGGAATTGAAGCCATGATCTTAGCATGGCCAGCACTACACTCTTACTAACTGAGCCACATAGGACCTACTTATTGCAATGATTCATTTCCATAATTGTATGGTCTTTACAGGATTATGATGCCTCTGTAGAGTGTCACGTAACAAGGTGTGGGTGCAGAATAGAAGTACCATTATGAGTTTGTAAACTGCTCTCTTGTTTACCATGTGGTTTAGTGCGAGAGGATGTGGTTAGACAAACATCGATACCATCTTCAAGCAGAGAGATGTTTTTTGTCTCACTTTACTCAAAACGTGGGCTGTGAGCAGTAGGTCAAAGTTTAGATGGGAATATACTAGAGCAGAGATGACAGAGAATCTTTACTGATACTGCCAACGTGCCAGTTACTGAGAAGAAAATGTGGGTGGATAGGGAGTTTTCATAAAACCTCACTACCTTGATAGATTTACAGATGCTTTCTTAACGTCCTGAGTATGAAACATGTAATTGCTAAGTTTGTTGCTACCACCACATTACTGGGTTTGTTTGTGCCATTTGTGAGTTTTGGTCGGATCTTAAAAGGTTCCATTTGACTATAACTACATCAGCTAGCTCCTGTTTTAGATACTTGTATTTATTTAATAAATATGATGTTATTCCAGTTTTACTACTGTAGTTGCCTTCACATCCCTCTCTGCTAATTTTTTAGTTTGTTCATATCAATCTCTGCTCTACTCCTAATATTTAATTCAATGTATTCCATTCATGCTAATGGTATACTGCACTTGCATTGTGTTTCTTTCAGATGGGCAGCAAATTTGGGAAGCGGAAGCATCAGTAGACCGAGACAAAAGCCAATCAGTGAGTTACCATCCTATCACCTTTATGAAAAGTGACATTAAAATACTACTGGCTTTATAAAGTACTACCTAACTCCTCTTCTACATATATACACTATATATACAAAAGTATGTGGACACCCCTTCAAATTAGTAGATTTGGCTATTTCAGCCACACCCGTTGCTGACAGGTGTATAAAATCAAGCACACCGCCATGCAATCTCCATAGACAAACATTGAGAGTAGAATGGCCTTACTGAAGAGCTCAGTGACTTTCAATGTGGCACCGTCATAGGACGCCACCTTTCCAACAAGTCAGTTCGTCAAATTTCTGCCCTGCTAGAGCTGCCTGTCAACTGGAAGTGCTGTTATTGTGAAGTGGAAATGTGTAGGAGCAACAATGTCTCTGCCGCGAAGTGGTAGGTCACATGAGCTCACAGAACGGGACCGCCGAGTGCTGAAGCGCGTAAAAATCGTCAGTCCTCAGTTGCAACACTCACTACAGAGTTGCAAACTGCCTCTGGAAGCAACGTCAGCACAATAACTGGTTCGGGCAAGACCCCTTAGTTCCAGTGAAGGGAAAGCTTAACGCTACAGCATAAAGTATTTGATACACTGCCGATCTTGCAGGTTTTCCTACTTACAAAGCATGTAGAGGTCTGTAATTTTTATCATAGGTACACTTCAACTGTGAGAGACAGAATCTAAAACAAAAATCCAGAAAATCACATTGTATGATTTTTAAGTAATTAATTTGCATTTTATTGCATGACATAAGTATTTGATACATCAGAAAAGCAGAACTTAATATTTGGTACAGAAACCTTTGTTTGCAATTACAGAGATCATACGTTTCCTGTAGGTCTTGACCAGGTTTGCACACACTGCAGCAGGGATTTTGGCCCACTCCTCCATACAGACCTTCTCCAGATCCTTCAGGTTTCGGGGCTGTCGCTGGGCAATACGGACTTTCAGCTCCCTCCAAAGATGTTCTATTGGGTTCAGGTCTGGAGACTGGCTAGGCCACTCCAGGACCTTGAGATGCTTCTTACGGAGCCACTCCTTAGTTGCCCTGGCTGTGTGTTTCGGGTCGTTGTCATGCTGGAAGACCCAGCCACAACCCATCTTCAATGCTCTTACTGAGAGGAGGAGGTTGTTGGCCAAGATCTCGCTATACATGGCCCCATCCATCCTCCCCTCAATACGGTGCAGTCGTCCTGTCCCCTTTGCAGAAAAGCATCCCCAAAGAATGATGTTTCCACCTCCATGCTTCACAGTTGGGATGGTGTTCTTGGGGTTGTACTCATCCTTCTTCTTCCTCCAAACACGGTGAGTGGAGTTTAGACCAAAAAGCTATATTTTTGTCTCATCAGACCACATTACCTTCTCTCATTCCTCCTCTGGATCATCCAGATGGTCATTGGCAAACTTCAGACGGGCCTGGACATGCGCTGGCTTGAGCAGGGGGACCTTGCGTGCGCTGCAGGATTTTAATCCATGACGGCGTAGTGTGTTACTAATGGTTTTCTTTGAGACTGTGGTCCCAGCACTCTTCAGGTCATTGACCAGGTCCTGCCGTGTAGTTCTGGGCTGATCCCTCACCTTCCTCATGATCATTGATGCCCCACGAGGTGAGATCTTGCATGGAGCCCCAGACCGAGGGTGATTGACCGTCATCTTGAACTTCTTCCATTTTCTAATAATTGCGCCAACAGTTGTTGCCTTCTCACCAAGCTGCTTGCCTATTGTCCTGTAGCCCTTCCCAGCCTTGTGCAGGTCTACAATTTTATCCCTGATGTCCTTACACAGCTCTCTGGTCTTGGCCATTGTGGAGAGGTTGGAGTCTTTTGATTGAGTGTGTGGACAGGTGTCTTTTATACAGGTAACGAGTTCAAACAGGTGCAATTAATACAGGTAATGAGTGGATAACTGGAGGGCTTCTTAAAGAAAAACTAACAGGTCTGTGAGAGACGGAATTCTTACTGGTTGGTAGGTGATCAAATACTTATGTCATGCAATAAAATGCAAATGAATTACTTAAAAATCATACAATGTGATTTTCTGGATTTTTGTTTTAGATTCCGTCTCTCACAGTTGAAGTGTACCTATGATAAAAATTACAGACCTCTACATGCTTTGTAAGTAGGAAAACCTGCAAAATCGGCAGTGTATCAAATACTTGTTCTCCCCACTGTACAATGACATTCTAGACAATTATGTGCTTCCAACTTTGTGGCAACAGTTTGGGGAAGGCCCTTTCCTGTTTCAGCATGACAATGCCCCTGTGCACAAAGCAAGGTCTATACAGAAATGGTTGGTCGAGATCGTTGTGGAAGAACTTGACTGTCCTGCACAGAGCCCTGACCTCAACCCCATTGAACACCTTTGGGATGGATTGGAACGCCAACTGCGAGCCAGGACTAATCGGCCAACATCAGTGCCTGACCTCACTAATGCTCTTGTGGCTGAATGGAAGCAAGTCCCCGCAGCAATGTTCCAACATCTAGTGGAAAGCCTTCCCAGAAGAGTGGAGGCTGTTATAGCAGCAAAGGGGGGACCAACTCCATTTTAATGCCAATGATTTTGGAATGAGATGGTCGACGAGCAGGTGTCCACATACTTTTGGTCATATAGTGTATCTCACACAGCCTCAGTATAGAGATATGGTATGTCCACAGTCCACACTGTCGCCCGGTGATACTCTATGACAAATGACTGATGTTCTATTGTACCATATTATATCAAGAGCATGCTGTTTATCGAGATCCCTCCATATCGAGATCACACCATTTATCACACGGCTAAAGTTAACTTCTATGTGATCAACGGGAGGAGGAAACGCAGTCAGGCGCAGCACTTCACCTACACTCCTTTAACAGGTGAGTCCATCCATACTCCTTATATATTTTTGTCATCATTAGAACTGGATCCGGCCACACCTTAAATGGCAGTAACTTTATCACAATCCCATTGCTTACTTAAAGGGATAGTTCCCCCAAATTACAAAATGACATTGACAATCAGTGCCACCTCTGCCTAAACGCAGACTATGTGGCGTGCTGCATGTAGGAAGTCAGACGGGGTCTGAACTTACTGTTGAGAGATAGCATAGTAGAATACACAACATGCAATTTAGAAATTTGGTAGTGCAACAGCAGTTTTCCTCTTGTTATGTCAGTCACTGACAGTCAATATATAATTTTGTAATTTGGGGGAACTATCCATTTAACTTGTTTTTAGCGCCAACTGTCATTTAAAACTCAGATCATCCAAATTCTAATTCTGATTTACTGTTCTTTTCAGTTCCCTCCATTAAAACGGAACCCGTAGATGACATCCAGTTTGGCCAGCTGGGTTGTACTGTGTCCCAGATCCTAGGAGTGTCACCCAAGTCCTACCACCACACCCCCAGTAGCCATCTCAACCCTAATAGCCACAAGGCTGGCATGACAACCTTGGTATCCTGCCAGCAGGTGAGCCTCCACGACTCCATTGTCAGAGTGTCAGCCTATCAACAACAAGACCCATCTGTCTATTACCCCAGTAAAAGCAGAAGCCTGGGTAGCAGCCCTGTTCTGTATCAAGAAATGCACCACCACCACCACCACCCAGTGATGACCCACTGTGGCTCGCCATCTCAGATGTCGAATATCGGTAGCCAGCACTACTCCACCCTAGTCTCCCAACCTTTCCACCCCTCTCACTCTGCCACCAATCAGCGAGTTGTCAACATTGCAGTCCCGTTGGCCCAACACCAGCATGTCACCATGGTGGGTGATGTGTACCGGGCTGCAGCTTCATCATGGAAGGTTGGTGCCGCGCCAGAGGCCTGTTCATCAGAAGGCCAGTACCAGGGTTTCATGCAGATGGTGGTGCCGGTCTTGGGCAGGTCTCCACAACTATCACCACGACATAGCCCTACCCTGGCCCAGAGGGGTCCAATAACAGGGAGCCAGAGTGGGCCAGTCCTGGAGAAGGTGACGGTCAAGCAAGAAAACCTGAACCAAGCCTATCTGGATGATGGTGAGTGAAAAACATATTGGATACTGCAGAAATGTACTGTACCCAATGTAGGCTTGAGCGACATACCTTTTATACCGTATACTGGGTTATTTGGAAACGGTATGATACAGACGGTATGATTTTCAATACTGTTTAATTGAAAATAAAATAATTATATATTTTACTTTTTTTGTGTTGAGGGCACCCCCGCCTCATGGGGGCTGCATGGGTGCATGCCACTGCTTATAAATAAGTTAAGTATAACTATAAGAAATCTAAGATGTGTGAAATAAATTATATCCAGCTCAGGGCTCCAGCTATGCATTTGATTTGCTAACTTGCTAGCTAAGAGGCTAGATGTCAAGATCAAACGTCTTGGTTACAGCAGAGACATTCAATCCCCTCCTGGATCAAGATCCCGGTTGCCAAAATTGTTTTGAAATAGCGCCCCTTGTGTGCACATTCGGTAATACAGTATACTCCGGTATGGTACAGAAACGGTATGAAAGTCTGGATACCGCCCAACCCTAACCCCATGCTCCTCTCACTTGTTGTTTTGAATTAGTGAGAATGTCTATGGTTAAATGGTTATTGTTAATTTGGTGGGATGCTGGAAATTGAGATGGACTACACTGATATACAGTACACAGCAACATCTTAATAGTAATAGTAGTATGCCATTTAGCAGACACTTTTATCCAAAGCGACTTACAGTCATGCGTGCATACATTTTTTTTTTTGTGTATGGGTGGTCCCGGGGATCGAACCCAGTACCTTGGCGTTACAAGCACCGTGCTCTACCAGCTGAGCTACAGAGGACCACATCTTTAAATACAATCTCAGATGTTTGAAAGAGGAAACACATTTATTCGTATCCCTAAGCTTGTTCAAAGGAGATACAGATGATAAACAAACAAACAGGAAAAATAGAGCACATGTAAAAAATACAAAAATAAAAAACCTTCAGTATGTGAATGTCTGTCAGCAGTAGCCTGCCAGAATAAGCTGCTGGCCCCTTGACTTTGGGCCTTGACAGAGGAGGGATATGGTTTTCTACTCTGACACTCAGTATGAGTTGGTCTCTTTTATCTCTGAATCCCAAATCAGCCCCTAGCCCCAACACTAGATCCACTAGAATTTGTGGGTTTTTGTTTGTCCACCCGCCTCTTGAGGATCGACCACAAGTTCTCAATGGGATTAAGGTCTGGGGAGTTTCCTGGCCATGGACCCAAAATGTTGATGTTTTGTTCCCCGAGCCACTTAGTTATCACTTTTGCCTTATGGCAAGGTGCTCCATCATGCTGGAAAAGGCATTGGTCGTCACCAAACTGTTCTTGGATGGTTGGGAGAAGTTGCTCTCGGAGGATGTGTTGGTACCATTCTATATTCATGGCTGTGTTCTTAGGCAAAATTGTGAGTGAGCCCACTCCCTTGGCTGAGAAGCAACCCCACACATGAATGGTCTCAGGATGCTTTACTGTTGGCATAACACAGGACTGATGGTAGCGCTTACCTTGTCTTCTCCGGACAAGGTGTTTTCCCGGATGCCCCAAACAATCGGAAAGGGGATTCATCAGAGAAAATGACTTTACCCCAGTCCTCCGCAGTCCAATCCCTGTACCTTTTGCAGAATATCAGTCTTTCCCTGATGTTTTGCTGCCCTTCTTGACACCAGGCCATCCTCCAAAAGTCTTCGCCTCACTGTGCGTGCAGATGCACTCACACCTGCCTGCTGCCATTCCTGAGCAAGCTCTGCACTGGTGGTGCCCCGATCTCACAGCTGAATCAACTTTAGGAGACGGTCCTGGCGCTTGCTGGACTTTCTTGGGCACCCTGGCGCCTTCTTCACAACAATTGAACCTCTCTCCTTGAAGTTCTTGATGATCCGATAAATGGTTGATTTAGGTGCAATCTTACTAGCAGCAATATCCTTGCCTGTGAAGCCCTTTTTGTGCAAAGCAATGATGACGGCACATGTTTCCTTGCAGGTAACCATGGTTAACAGAGGAAGAACAATGATTTCAAGCACCACCCTCCTTTTAAAGCTTCCAGTCTGTTATTCTAACTCAATCATTATGACAGAGTGATCTCCAGCCTTGTCCACGTCAACACTCTCACCTGTGTTAACGAGAGAATCACTGACATGATGGCAACTGGTCATTTTGTGGCAGGGCTGAAATGCAGTGGAAATGTTTTTTGGGAGATTAAGTTCATTTTCATGGCAAAGAGGGACTTTGCAATTAATTGCAATTCATCTGATCACTCTTCACGACATTCTGGAGTATATGCAAATTGACATCATCAAAACTGAGGCAGCAGACTTTGTGAAAGTTAGTATTTGTGTCATTCTCAAAACATTTGACCACTTATTGGAACCCTTAATAACAAAATTAGCAAAAAAGACTGTATAAAATAAATAATACAAACACTGAGCTATATTGTATGCTAAAAAAAATGTAATTCTATTATTTTATGCTAATACAATTGCACAGATAAGTAGATTTTGTTTATCAAGTAATCTCAAAAAGTTAAGTCAAAATTATTGGATTCCCTGTTTTCAATACTCCAGCACCCTCCCCAGTCGAGGATAACGACACTGAGCCTTTTTCTAAGATGTTTTATGAGATTGGAGAACACATTGGGAGGGATCTTAGACCATTCCTCCATACATAATCATTCCAGATTCTTGATATCCTACGTCTGTGCTGGAGTATTAAAAACAGGGGATCCAATAATTTATCTTTCTCTGAGCAATTGTATTAGTAAAAAATAATAAAATAAAATAAAAATGTGGAGCACAAAATATACAGTGCATTCGGAAAGTATTCAGACCCCTTCCCAATTTCCACATTTTGTTACGTTACAGCCTTATTCTAAAATGGATTACTTTTTTAAAAATGTTTTATCAATCTACACACAATAACCCATAATGACAAATCTAAAACAGGTTTTTTGATTTTTTTGCAAATGTATTAAAAATACGAAACAGATACCTTATTTACATAAGTATTCAGACCCTTTGCTATGAGACTCGAAATTGAGCTCAGGTGCATCCTGTTTCCATTGATCTTCCTTGAGATGTTTCTACAACTTGATTGGAGTCCACCTGTGGTAAATTCAATTGATTGGACATGATTTGGAAAGGCACACACCTGTCTGTATAAGGTCCCACAGTTGACAGTGCATGTCAGAGCAAAAACCAAGCCATGAGGTTGAAGGAATTGTCCGTAGAGCTCCGAGACAGGATTGTGTCGAGGCACAGATCTGGGGAAGGGTACCAAAAAATGTTGGCAGCATTGAAGGTCCGCAAGAACACAGTGGCCTCCATCATTCTTAAATGGAAGAAGTTTGGAACCACGAAGACTCTTCCTAGAGCTGGCCGCCCGGCCAAACTGAGCAGTGGGGGAAGAAGGGCCTTGGTCAGGGAGGTGACCAAAAACCTGATGGTCACTCTGACAGAGCTCCAGAATTCCTCTGTGGAGATGGGAGAACCTTCCAGGAGGACAACCAGCTCTGCAGCACTCCACCAATCAGGCCTTTATGGTAGAGTGGCCAGACGGAAGCCACTTCTCAGTAAAAGGCACATGACAGCCCGCTAGGAGTTTGCCAAAAGGCACCTAAAGGACTCTCAGACCATGAGAAACAAGATTATCTGGTCTGCTGAAACCAAGATTGAACTCTTTGGCCTGAATGCCAAGCGTCACGTCTGGAGATAACCTGGCACCATCCCTACGGTGAAGCATGGTGATGGCATCATGCTATGGGGATGTTTTTCAGTGGCAGGGACTGAAAAACTGGTCAGGATCGAGGGAAAGATGAACGGAGCACAGTAGAGAGAGATCCTTGAACCTGCTCCAGAGCACTCAGGACCTCAGACTGGGCCGAAGGTTTACCTTCCAACAGGACAATGACCTTAAGCACACAGCCAAGACAACGAAGGAGTGGCTTCGGGACAAGTCTCTAAATGTCCTTGAGTGGCCCAGCCAGAGCCCGGACTTGAACCCCGATCGAAGAATGGGAGAAACTCCCCAAATACAGGTGTGCCAAGTTTGTAGCGTCATACCCAAGAAGACTCGAGGCTGTAATCACTGTCAAAGGTGCTTCAACAAAGTACTGAGTAAGAGGTCTGAATGTTTATGTAAATGTTACATTCAGTAGTTTTTTATTTATTTATGTTTTTAGGTGGTAGATCAGCTTTAAAATTGCAGATAGATTGTAGCTTCCAATCCTCAATATCACTTCCAATCCCCAATATATTTTTTTGCATATATACCTGTGGACACACCTATTCATTCCAGGGTTATTCTTTATTTTTAGTATTTTCTACATTGTAGAATAATAGTGAAGACATCAAAACAATGAAATAACACATATGGAATCATGTAGTAACCAAAAAAATGTTAAACAAATCCAAATATATTTTATATTTGAGATTCTTCAAATAGCCACCCTTTGCCTTGATGACAGCTTTGCACACTCTTGGCATTCTCTCAACCAGCTTCATGAGGTAGTCACCTGGAAAGCATTCTAATTAACAGGTGTGCCTTCTTAAAAGTGAATTTGTGGAATTTCTTTCCTTCTTAATGCGTTTGAGCCAAATCAGTTGTGTTGTGACAAGGTAGGGGGGTATACAGAAGATAGCCCTATTTGGTAAAAGACCAAGTCCATATTATGGCAGGAACAGATCAAATAAGCAAAGAAAAACAACAGTACATCATTACTTTAAGACATGAAGGTCAGTCAATACGGAAAATGTCAAGAACTTTGAACGTTTCTTCAAGTGCAGTCGCAAAACCATCAAGCGCTGTGATGAAACTGGCTCTCATGAGGACCGCCACAGGAATGGAAGATCCAGAGTTACCTCTGCTGCAGAGGATAAGTTCATTAGAGTTACCAGCCTCAGAAATTGCAGCCCAAATAAATGCTTCACAGAGTTCAAGTAACAGATACATCTCAACATCAACTGTTCAGAGGGGACTGTGTGAATCAGGCCTTCATGGTTGAATTTCTGCAAAGAAACCACTACTAA